TTATTTTTGTTATCAAGTATTTTGTTAGCTTCATTTTCAATGTGGTTTATGCATTTATGTTTTATTGTTATTGCCAGGTCATCCATATAGAGACATGTCATCACATTTTTTGGGATTATATTGTTTATTGAATTTATATTAAGACAGAAGAGTATAGGTGATAATATACTCCCTTGTGGTAAACCCATCTCAAAATTCATTACTTTTGACAAAGTATTGTTGATCTTTACTTGGAAAGTGCGATTAAGTAGAAATTCTTTGATAAATTTGGGAAGTCTTCCTCTTAGACCAGCTTTGTATAAATTTTTCATGATCCCATATTGCCATGTTGTATCATATGCTTTCTCAACATCAAAGAAAATTATTAGTGCTTGCTCTTTGTTTGCTAATGCCTGTCTTACATATGTTTCCATCGATACAACATGATCAAGTGTTGCTCTTCCTTTCCTTCCACCACATTGTGTGTTTGAAATTATGTTGTTTTTGTTGAGGTACCATGTTAATCTATTATTTATTACTTTTTCAAAAATTTTACATATGCAACTTGTTAGTGAAATTGGTCTATAGCTGTCTGAGTTTTCTTTGGGTTTTCCTGGCTTATTGAAAGGTAGTACTATTGCATGGGTCCATGTTTTAGGTATTTTTGAATTGATCCATATGTGATTATATATATCTTATAATTTATTAACAGCTATGTCTGGGATATTTTTCAATATATTATATGTTACTTGATCTTCGCCTGGGGAAGAATTTATACTGTTTTCTATTTCGTCCATCATTTCTTTTTTGGTGATTGGTTGATTGTGGCTTTCATTGTTGTTAGATTCAAAATTGAGGGCCATTTTTTCTTGTTCTTTTTTGAGTTCTCGGAATTCTTTACTATGATTGGATATCTGAGATTTATTTTTGAATTGATTGGCCAGTATATTTGCTATCTCTTCATCTGTTTCATATGTTTTGTTCTGGAAAATTATATGGCTTGTACGGCTTTCTGTGCTTTTACTTTTAAGTTTCTTGACCATTTCCCATATGTGTATCATTGGTGTATTTGATTTCATATTACTTATGAATCTGTTCCAACACTGCTTTTTTTCCTGCCTTACTGTTCTTCTTGCTATTGCCTTGGCCTTTTTATATTCTATTAAGTTAGTATGTATTGGATTATTTGTAAATATTTTTAAGTGTTTTAATTTATTTTTTATTGCTGCTTTACACTCACTGTTAAACCAGGGATTTATCATTTTATTGTTTTTATTATTTATTTTTGGTGTTGTCTGCTCTATTATCATCATTATTGTTTTGGTCCATCTTTCTATAGATGCTTCATTTATTTCATTCCACATAGCAAATTGAGAGGCTGTTTTTTTTTTAATTTTCCCCAGTTTGTTTTGTTGTAATTTAATCTTTTTGTTATTGGTGCATTTTGTGTTTTATTAATTTCTATTGTTATTGGGAAATGGTCACTGCCATGCAAGTCATCGTCTATCTTTAAACTTACGTCCTCCTGGAAGTAAATGTCAAATCAATCGTTGAGAGCGTATTTGTCTGTTCGTGATAATAAGTTGGTCCATTGGGCTTTATTATACATATATTACCTCGAATTAACACCTCTTCTAAGCATTTGCCTTGTGGGTTTGTTTGTTTGCCGCCCCATAACCGATTGTGGGCATTGAAGTTCCCAAGGAGGATTAAAGGCTTTGGTAATCTTTCCAGCACCTGCAAGATTTCATCGGTTTTCATCAGTGTTTTTGGGGGAATGTACACATTACATATGGTTATTGATTTGTTTGTGGTTATTTTTACTGCTATTAAATGATTATATTGATGGGTCTTTATTTCTGATTGGGTTAATTTATTATTAACATATATTATTACTCCTCCTGATGGATTAGAATGAGTTGGGCCGGCTACTTTAGAGTAGGCTACATAGTTTTTTAGATTTATTTGTTTTCCTGTATTCAACTTTGTTTCCTGCAGGCAAATGATTTGAGGTTGATATTTGTTTATGAGTATTTTTAGTTCTGGGATGTTGCTTTGAAGATCTCTTATATTCCACTGTAAGATTTTTATGTTGGTTTTATTTGTTATATTATTTTCATTTACATTATTGATGTTTGCCATATTGGCTGGCTTCTCCGTTTATCTTAGTTAAATTCCAGCATGTCTCTTCAGTCTCATCTCTTACATAAAAAACTTCCATTTCCCTTACATCTTTATTTAATGTTTGTGAAGTGTTATTTATATCTTCTTTTGATGTTGATGTTGAGATTTTTTTAAATTTTGTCAGTGGTTCAGCTGCCAGGATGTCGCATGTTATGCTCTTGTCTATTTTTTGGATATTACTTTTAGTTATGTCTGCATATAACTTTTGTTGATTCGTTTTTTTAACTATCTGTATTGCTTCTTGAAATGTTATTTTATTTTCTATTTTTGTTTTAATTATTTCTTTTTGTTGTTGGTATATTTTACATGACTTGTCATAAGTTGGATGTTTGCCTTTGCAATGATAGCATTTTGATTCTTTTTTACAAGGTTTTTCCCGTGTGTGTTCGTGACCATCTTCCCCACAGTTGCTACATATTATTTTTTTATTATGGCATATGTTTTTATGGTGTCCGTACAACTGACATTTTGTGCATCTCATAGGATTTGGAATAAATGCATTAACCTGAATTTTTTCATAACACACTATTATTGATTTAGGACTGATGTGAGTTTGAAATGTAAGTATATACGTATTTGTTTTTACTAGTTGTTCTCCCTTTTTTATCTCTATGTTTTTTGCTTCCACAACACCTTGACTTTTTAGTTCTGAGATTATTTCTTCATTTGAACAATTTTTAAACATTTTTGTTTTTATTACTCTTTTTGAGTAGTTTAAGGACATTTGTGGTGAACATTTAACTTTTTCTGTATGAATTCTGTTTAATTCTTGTAATTTTATGCCCTGTTTGGCATCCTTTACTTTAATTATTATTTTGTTTCTGCCAATTTTTATATTATCGACTTCACCCACCAATCTGTGAATTTTTTTTTCAATTCTGAAACAAGTTAAGGTATTTAAATTTGCATCCTTTTCAGCCTCTATGACATAATATACTGGGCTTCGAGGAAATATTTCCTCATCTTCATTCAAAAGATCAAGTGATGCTTCTCTTGCTCTTTTGTTATTCTTCCTCGTCATTTCGCTTGTAAGAGACGTTTGGGTCACCTGGAGGTGACCCGTCCTGGAAGCTTTGCCCTCCCGAACCGGTCTTTTAGTTAAGACCAAATAGTCTCGAAGAAAAATTTTCTTTATTGTCGCCTAGCAACAAAGAACCAATTGATCCCACCGAAATGATCATATTGCGCTGCATGTATTTGATATTTTTGTTATCTTTGCTATATTTGTAATCTTTGGATTGTGGGAATATCTGGTGTATTAGCGAGTGAATAGTCAGGTTTACAGTGAGGTTTCCAACAGAGAAAGCAAAGTCGTAAATGAGATTTACGTAGCTACTTGGATTACTTTGATGTTTCTATTATTGTTGGTATTCAAATAAACGTTAAACAAAGTTTGCGTTTGAAGCAGTTGTGTTCATCATTCGGAAATGTTGAACCTACGTAATAAAGAACACTTGACGATCGTTGGAAGCTACATCACTGGTGTTGAAAATATAGATATCATTGAAGTTATAACATTGGTATTGGTAGTTACGAGAATCAAGGGTTATAACAATATATAAAATTTGAGCTAATTTTGTCAATTCAAAAAATGTTATAGCAGATCCTTATAGAAGCATTCGTATGATCTGGACACATCCAAAACAGCGGCGCTTACGACGCTTTATAAATGTTCATAGTTTTATTGAAAACCATTTTAGAAAACATTCTTTGCAGAAATTTGTATAAAATCAAAAATCAAGATATCAAATTGAACCAGGTTTGAATTTGGGTTAGGGTGAACAAGTTACGAATAAAAGATTTCAATGCAATTTTTAATAGTGAAACACAAATGGATCAAATGAACAATTTGAGATAAGAAAAGCAAGGTTTGGCATAACACTTTGTAATAAAAGTTTTAAAAAATTCTTCGATCGGAAATGTCGATATCTAATGACAAATTGTTTAATTTATTTAGAGTTTAATTATTTTGCTCGTTTTATTTGCTGTTACAAACGTTATCAAACCTTCTTTCAAACCGCGCACGGAGTTTTTAACATCCTCCTGCATCACATCAACATTTCTTTTTCGAACGGTATTGCGGTAATTACTAAATGCAGGAAAACAAAATAACTTTCAAGCTGATATTCAAATAAAAATTGGTAAGGATACAATATTGCTAAAGTTTAATTTCAGCTGTTTTATTAAAATTCTTTCTGCATACAAAATAATTCCTAATGTTTATTTTCACCATTGTCGTTGTCTTCCTCACAACCGTCGTCGATTTTATTAATCATCATCTGGAACACACACTACAACGTACATGTTTGATTGTAAATGTCTGGTTTTTGTTACGTGTTATTATGTTTTTTTACTATTAAAGTAAGCAATCGCTTCAAGGTATATCTTATCAAAAATATTTTATTTTTTATTTACCCAATTTTCGTTTTGATCACGTATATTTTTATTTGGTTCATTAACTCAGTCTACATAGATAGCAATCGGCCTACTGAATCTCACTCGTCATTTTGAATGAGCATCTAATTATCTCCATCATCACCATCATTATTGAATAGAAGTTGTTTTTACATTGTTGAAACTGCCGCTTCACTGAAAAACTTCAACATCTAAGTAACAATATTTATAAGAAACATGCGTTCAACATTGTACCTTCTAATGATGATGTTCAGCTTGCAACATGAAAGTCAGTCAACTGAATATCTTAAGAATAAGCCCGTTGTCCAAGCAAATAAAAATTTCAATAATGATATGATTTACACAAATGAGAAATTTGTTTCAAAAGAAAAATCGAATTTGAAGAATGAGGATGGTTTATTAAATATTAAGAAAAAATTTCCTCTTTTTCACAAGAAAGTTAATGAAAATAATAAATTAAATATCGATAACAGCAAAAAATTAGTATATAATCCGCATAAATATCTGGTCAGAGAAATAAAGCATTCAAAAAAAACCTCACCAAAAAAACTGTCATTATCAAAATTAAACGATTTCCTTAATGATGAAAGCGTCCAAAAAACAAACAATTATTTACAATCTCCACGTGTAACAAAGCTTTTTAACCAGTTTAATCAAAAGATTTCCTTTCTTGGTGACGAGGCCAAACAAAAATCTAAAAAGCCAATAAATAAAAATCGACGAACAGCATTATTAACTGAAGATGAAAACCTAAGATATAGCGAGCAAGGAGCACTAGATTCAATGACCGAACACATCCCAGTGAAACAAGAAGACAACAGTTCAACAGCGGGCCAAAACTTTGGCACATCTTTGCTAACTGGACCCATTGACAGCCACTTATTTAATCGTTCTACAAACTTTCATGAAAATAAAGACACGATAGGTTGTAAGCACGGCAAATATTCATGCTGCTCAAACAGGAACAACACGTGTTGGAGTCACGGACCTCGCATTAATAATAATCTCTCTTCTGTTTGCTTTTGCGACGAAGCTTGCAAACATCTTAGTGATTGCTGTACTGATTACGAAAACGTTTGTCCTCGTAAGTTCAAAGTTTTTATATTAATTTTTTATTAAAATATTTAAATTTAAACAAACAGTTGATAATTTGTGTAAATAATTTATTGGGATTTATATAATTTGTAGAGTAGACTTTGACGAAAATCGTCCGCACGTTGCCTCACAATCTTGGCAACAGACAGATGCAATCTCGTTTAATTAGCAACGATTTCGTTTTTGTTTTCATGAGCGTCACGCACACCAACTCCCATTGAGTTCAATGTCGCATTATCCCTTGGCCGCATCGTATCCTATTGTCATTATGAAGTACAAATACTTTGTTGATCATAGTTCTTGTATTCTATAATGATTACATTGACCACAAAAACATGCGCAAATATGAAAACTAACATTAAGTGACCTGTTGAATGAAATTTTTTTCAATTGTGCGTTAATTAACTTTTCCAAAGTTTCGCATGTCGGTTTGTCAAGATTGAAAGCTCATTGACCCAGCAGAACTCTAACAAGCCGCATAACAAATCGAATTAATCACATCCCATATCACCACGCAAGACGCAAATTTACTTAATTTTCTTTCACTCTTTTCAACATTCGTTTCGATTTCTCTATCGTTCACTGGTTACGATAAAATTCAAAGATCAACAATCACATCGATCAGCTTATGTGATGATTCATCTGTTGTTTATAATATTACTCGTCATATAAAGCTACATAAGAAAACCCATCCCCTACCAATGATTTGGTTGAATGGCTAACTAAACTTATATTGAGCAAATAAAACTAAAATAACAAACGGTAGATAATAAAAATCCTGACACCTTTGAATGGTCTAAAATTTGTATGATTCCGAATAAAAACATGCGCATAAAACAAACACCTAAATGTTTGCACAGACAGTAATATATTACAAACTTCTATTTGCTAAATTAATTTCTAATTTTTCAAGGAGAATTAAAAATCAGTCGGAACGGTTTATACATTCATTTGATTTGAAACAAAACTTACATAATTAGTAAGGTGCCCTACATTTTTATCAAATATCAGACGGAACAACTCCACATATATCACAGCACATGCATACACACACAAATTCATGCATAACTTGATTTCCTTGGTTCACTCACATGCTCACAAACTCACACATTCAAGCACCGTCTTACACGCACATGCACGCACGCGCACTCTCAATTAAACACACTTCACATTATCAAACTTTCAAATGTGCATCATGTTAAGCTTCTATGTGTGGTATGTATATAAAAGCCTTCATCTATGGTTTGTTTAATTATTGTAACAGTCAACTGATAGACTTTGCAGACCTTAAAGTTCAACAAGTTTATTTACATCCACTTGTTGAAAGTATGCCATTTGATTTTTTAGTTAACGACTGAAGAGTTATTATCATTTGATTTAATTGTGCTTATTTCAGTTCTTGCTACCTGAATTTGCATAAAAGATCTGGTGATGTTTTATTTTAGATATTATAAAAAAAAATATTTTTAATAAACGTTTTAATTTTTAGAAAAAATTTTTTAATCTTAACATTCAACAAAGGTTGTTGTAAGCGAATGCTGACTTCCACTTGTAACTTACAAATTAAATTTTAAAACTTAATTATTACATAATAAATGTGAACTTAGCAACATCGATCGAATCCAAATAAATAGCTGTTGACTGCATAATGAGTGATTGGGAACAGTGGAGCGAGTGTGATGTCCAGTGTGGCACGGGGGTCCGCCAACGCATCAGGAAAGTTATCGTTCAACCGCAAAATTCTGGCAAACCATGTGGAAACACTTTGGAGATGGCTGGTTGTGCAGGATATAATTGCAAAAGTGGAAGGTCCATATCTGCCATCCTTACAGGTTTAATTTCGGTTAAAGTTAATTCTATGATTAAATTAAATCATGACACTGTTTATAACTAACAAAAAATTTAAGAAACAGCAAAAATTGTTCCATGGACGTATGGCCAACATAGGTCAAGCAATGAGTACAATCCTCTCGCTGATATTCGCCAAAACGTATACTTTAGACGTAACCCCGATGAAGCTCATGATTTTAATCGATCATCGTCAGTATGCCAATTTTTTTAAATAAACTTTTTTACGAAAAATTTAATGCTTCAAACCACATAAAATTTATAACCAAGACACGCATACATGCTCAACACTAAAAATATGTCTATATAAATACGTGTATAAATACACATGCTGTGATTTTCATCAATAATTGCATTTCTTACAGTCTTAATCCACAATACATATAGGTACATATACAGAGATTGGCAAATTACACGCTATATTGTGATTTCGATACAAATTACAAAATACTCTAAATATTGTAATTTCGATACCAATTACAAATTATATTTAATAAAAGTGCCAAATTACAAATTACTAATTTCAAATTACATGAAATTAAATTACATCAAACAAGTTTTGAATAAATGAAGAAAAAATTTTCTTTGAAATTATTTAAACATTGATTTTTCTTTGCGCTGATATTCTTTGATGTCATTTTTAAATTCATTTATTAAGTTACTTTCTTTCGATCAACAATTTGTTCTATCGTTTAATGAACGACTGAAGAAAAAAGGTAAGAAAGAAAGAAAAAAAGCGTCAAAAATCAAAAAAGTAAAATTTTTGATGTAGCTATATGACCATAAAACTTCAAAGAAGCAAATGAAATTTTTAATCAAATAAATTTTTAGAGTTTAAAATTTTTTTTAGAATTTCAAAAAAAAAAATTTTTCAATAATAATAATAATAATTTGTGTAAGTATATCTGTTCAATCACATATAAACTACATTTTTTAGTCAAAATGTAATTTGAAATTACTTTGAAATTACCAAATTACATAAAAGATGAAATTACTAAATTACGAATTACTTAAAAAGTAATTTCGATACAAATTACAAATGTAATTTGAATTACGTAATTTCGTTACTTGAATTACATTACTGCCCATCTCTGTGTGTGTGTATATATATATATATATATATATATATATATATATATATATATATATATGGTCTAAATCCTAATATATATATATATATATATATATATATATATATATAAACGCGCACTTAGAACTTGTATGACTTTTGAAATCGTTAAAGTTCTGCCTCAATGCAATTCAACTGAAGATGGATTGCCTTCCTGGACCAGCATTTTGAAGAACGGAGTGGAGGTTAATTTGTCGTTACACAACTTTTAAAATTTGTTGAAAGTGACATACATGGTAGCGGGTTAAATAAAAAAAAACTAAAACTTCTGAGTTCTATTTTGATAAAAACTAATAGAATAAGCCAATAATTTCAACATTTTTTGTTTTTTCTTAAAATTAAATAAATGTAACTCAATTGTAATACTACTAGGCTCATTATATTGATCGATAAAATGTAACAAATAGGTGTGTGTGGAATGTCAATTCACGGCCATGGTCAAGGATCATGGTAACCGATGTCGTGGGGAAGGGTCAGTTGGATTAGAATCACGTTGGGCCACAAACAAACCTACTTGCAGTGGAATCTGGATACGCAAGAACAATTCTACCATATGTCAATGTGAAATGAAAAACGACAGTTTTATTTTTATTTGAATAGAGAAGTTTTTTCTTACGCAAATTCGTAAGCAAATAAATTTTATAAATTTTTTATGTGTCTTAAAAAGAAGAAAAAGATTATATATATATATATATATATATATATATATATATATATATATATATTGCAAAAATTATGTAAGATCAACCATTTGCACCTATATATATATATATATATATATATATCAACAAAAAATGGGCCATTCGTTTTATTTTATGATGATATTAAACCACCTGTTGAACATTTTTTTTCAGCAACATAAAAAAAATTAACGTTTTGTGGTTTTTGGTTAACAATAAATTTAAAAAATGTGTTAAAACAAATAATTTTTTGGATTTCAAGCTTTCTTATCATATCAGAATCATATATATAGAATTGAATCAGAATCTACGTCTATTTTATAATGGTCAGAATTTGAAATTGTTTTGTCAATTTTTTATATTTACGTCTGAGTTTGTTTTTTTACTCGGTTGTCTATGTTATATAAAAGCGCGCCAAATAAAAATTTTCAACGTGCATAATATTTTAATTGTCAAGGAAAGTGGCTCAGTTGCTTATTATACTACCAAATCAACCTAAGAAGAACCAACCTCTTAAACTAAAATGATAAAAAATCTGATAAAAAGCATTAAGAAATCTCAAAAAAGTGAATCGAATTCAAATTCACTTCACCGTTCTAGCGACCATATAAATCTAAATGTCTGTCCGAAACCGGACCGGGTGACCAGTAAACCTAAAATTAAACTTCAGTACACGAACCCCTCGTTAAATATAGAAGAACTAACTATATCAATTGTAAACACTAACAATGGAGCGAAAGAAAGAAGAACTCCACTTTTGAAGTGGTCGGCCAGCCTCGACAATTTAGTGAAAGGATGTCATGAAGACCGTCAGAACGAAAAAGAATTCAGTTCTGATAAAAGAAATAGTAACTCGTTCGAAGGTAAGATTAATTATGTAGCAACCAACGCTAAATTATATTATTTAATTTTTAATATTCTTGCATATTCTATAATATATTATGTTAATATATTTTGCATAAATGCATTATTTTATTTATATTCACATGTAAACCTAAAGTAAACTTTAATTTATTAGGCGATAATAGCTACTCCACAAAGGGTAAAATGATTTCAGAATACAATTCTGGAATAAATATGGCAGACGAATTAAAGGTAGAGTTAAGCATGAGCACTTCATCTTCATCTTCATCTAATACCAAATATTGCACCAAGGATGATTCATCAACAGTGCACAAGAAATGCTTTGAAGAAGACAAGGTTGGCTATCAACACTTAATATAAAAATATGTGCTTTTTAAATCATATGATTTTATATTTAAGGAGAATAAAAAAGTTGAAATTGTGGACACAGCAGTTATAACACCCGGTGGAGTAAAAAATTATGCCACCTTAAGAAAAGCATTATTTGTAGGCCAAACTCCTGTTCCTTTGCCTCGCAAGTCGAAGTATCACTCATCTGCATTGTCTTGTAACAGTTTGAAATTCAAACCTGCAGTTTTTGACAACCAGAATGTGATAACATCGTCAGATGCACATACATGTTCTTATTTCAAAGATTCTCAGAAAAAAGATTATATAAAACATTTAAAGTTTGATGATGACTTCAGTAAAAATACTGAAAATCATGAACTTGGTTTAAACAATAGCAAGATTGCTAATAGTATTAACACTGTTTATGCAATGAAATCTATAAATGAAGAAAATGTTTTAGAAAATAAACAAATTAATTTAACCAATGAAAACTATAGTTTGACAGATAGCCCCCATTTTATCCTATCTACAAGCAACTTGAATGACAGTTCATGCACGTACATCTCATATTTCAAAGAACCTGATGTTTACAAAACTGCTGACCAAGGCCAATTATCCAAGCTTCAAGATTTTAAAAAGTTGTACAAGCTTAATGAAAATACATTTGAGGATGATAGCCTAGGTAACAAAACATTTGAATCAGAGTCTGTATTTGAAAACTCAATAAAATATGAAGAAAATCATAAAAGTATGAATGATTTTAACAACCTTATTGACAATTCTAAAGCTGATAACCATGAATGTGAAATATCAGAAGGTCAAACAATAAATAATTTAAAATTAGAGATAGAGAAAAAATTGCATGTGATTGATAATCTGAAAAACGTTAATGAAGAACTTGAAAAAAAAATAAATAAATTGAGAGAAGAAACAAAAAGCAATAAAGCAACCAAATCAAATTTTTTTAAACTGTTAACTTCTTGCAAGGACGTTTCCAACAAAACCTCTTGGAAGTTTTGTCCTTTATCATTATGCAAAGATGGCAAGTTGCAGTTCATGATTAAAACCGATCAGTTCAGCATTCCTTTCATCAAAAGAATAAATTCAAATGAATACTTGATGGAAAGTGATAAAATAATTGAAATGAATGGCACACAAACAATAAATATGAGTGAAATGGAAATGATGAGCCTATATAATTCTTTACCTGACAATGTTCCTTTAAATATTGTTGTACTGAGGAAGGAAATCAACAGCTTTGAAAATGATAAATGGGATAAATATTCAATGGACATGGAGGAGATGGGGCTAAGGGGCCTGAAAAAAATCCATTTCATCCCTGATGAGTTGAAATCAAAAGAAGATTTTAAAATAGAAATGTTGGAAATCTTTAAATTGTTAGATTCTTTACAAGATAGAATGTTTAAAATAAATGAAGTTAAAAAAGCTGGTACAAATTGCTCAAATGGATGCAATGATCTAGTGAGATGTGGACAGAACAATCAGCTTGAAATGATTATTATAGACAAACTTAAGAGCATAATCAATAATTTTAAGTAATTCCAGTTTTTGAGAATCAAAAAATATTTTGTCTATTATATAAGAGTCATCTAAATTTCTAATAGCATTCTTATAACATGCATTTTCTTTACTACAAAGCATGGTTTTTCCTTTGAAATTTAGATATCTTGATGTTACTCTATTTAAAAAAACTAGTTATTTAAAAATAATTTACATCTTGGATAAGTAAAATTTTTGAACCACAATGAATAAAAGTTTTGTTTGGTTTTTAATATTCAAAAGATGATCAAAAAACTGAATAATGAAAAAACTGTGAAACAAAAAAATCTGTCATCTGTCAATGATGGATCTGAAAGTCAAGTTGATTCTGGGCCCTCTATCATGATACTCTCTGACTATTCGGTGCTGTTTTGTGATATATTTTAATTAAATTGATAATGTTACTATTTTTTAGCATTCAATTTTAACGTTGTTTAAATAGCATATTACTGAAATATGTCTATTATTTCTAAAAAGCACCATTTTAAAATGAAAAGTTTTTCAAATTAGTATTTTTTATATAGAATTTTAAAAATTGACATTTTTCAAGCAAATTTCAGTTCAAGTTGTTATTTATTTATTTGTTTATTGCAATTCTCTCTTAAACATTTTTTAGACATCAATAACAAACACCCAGTGCACCCAAATTCATGTGAAGCAACGATCTGTAACTGAATCCAGTCAGAGAAGTAGCGGTGCCATTACATCACTGCGTAGCAGAATTTTCGCAGTTAGTGATGAAAATAAATCAGAAATGAATATCTGTTGAGCAGCAGACCTGCCAATCGAGCTGAACTGCACCCTCCATAAGTAAGAGCGAGCCAGCATTGAGTGGGATCTTTATGTATTCCAAGTAGTCTGCATCTGTCAGGGCATCATTTTTCAAACTTTTCAAGTGTTCCTGTGAAAACGTTTTTAAATTAATTATTAAAATTTTTGTAAAAAATACATCTACAGAATAAATGAAGTATTTTTATTTTTAAAACTTATTTAGCTGAAAAGTAATTTATAAAACCACCATAAAAAGTTAAAAACTGTAACAAGTAAAACAATTGAATTCTAAACACACTAACAAAAATCAAATAAGAACTTTCTGACTTGAAGTATAGAAATATTTAGAAAAAAGTCAGGATGAGAAATTCGCAATTATAAATTCAAATTGGATTGATTTGCAGTTATTTTAAATGTCATGCATCATTATGAATTTTACAGTAAACTATTAAAAAAGAATTAAAATTAGTCTTGACATTTTTGTAAGGTTTTCTTCTCAATTCAAATATTCTTGAATCACCAAATGAAAGAGAGGCAATAGAAGGATGAGTGTCAAAGTCTTTTTCATCGTCACAGTGCCAAGGAACGTGATCGTGACCATCTCTGTAGAGATTGGCAAGAACTGAATTGTACTGATGCCCTGTTTTGTTTTCTATGGTGTCTTTCAACATCGTCAGCAATGGATTCCACTGAATTTTTATGTGAAAAATGTGATCTGTGAATGAGAATATTCCTTAGTGTTGAGCAATGAAATTTATAACTAACACATTGGCATTTGTGAGTGATTCCAGAGTAAGAATATGGAACATTTCCAATCCATGCAGTCATCCTTGGTTGCATATATGTCTTTCCTATTCTGTGCACTTCATGTTGCTTCCAGCTTAATTCATCATTTAACTGGTCAAACATCCACCCACACTCACTGGAGTCAATGAAATTTGTAACCAAAGCAATCCTACAAAATTTATATATCATTAAGTTGAATTACAAATCAATTTAATTCGATCTGTTACCTTGACTGACCGTTGGGTTCATCACTAATAATGTAATCTCCTGACTGGCTTTTAGAAGAAAAAAATTAAAGAACCTTATATTTTTTAATCACAAATTTTTAAAAATTTTACTTTATAGTTCTGAAAGATGGTTCTCTCGGCAATTCCTTTTAATTTAAAAATATCAAATAATTTAGCAATATTTAATTGGAGTGTAAGTGAAAGTGTGTGTACAATAAATTTTAATTTAGTTATATTACAATGAAGTGTCAAAACAATAACAATAGGAAATTACCACATTTTCAAACTGAAATGAACTCTTCTTAACAAGATTTGAACCTGATGAAGCATTATCATTTTTCTCAGCAGTTTTTCTAACATCAAAAGTAACCATGCCTTTTTTACTTGCAAGTGAGCCATCAACTTTTTTGGATCTTGTACTGACATTAGCCCAAGCCCCTTGAACTACATTTCGTCTCTGGTCACTCATTACCAACTTGTATTTACATATGTGTGTGTATGTTATAAATTTATTGAAATAACTTCTCTAGTCAAATATTTGGTACTACTAAGATTATCGTGTCACTTTGCTTGTCTTACTTGACGACACAAAATGTAAAAATATCTTTATCTGTAGAATTTAGATAAATGTTATCTTTAGATGAAAAATTTATATTTTATATTCAATTACTATATATATTATATTTTATAAAATGTTATAAAATAAAGCCTGTAAATTTTGTATTGTATAATAATGCCTCAAATTTGCAATTATGCGTTCCTTATTGGCATCACACTTGAAATAATAAATTACAAAAATTAAAATGTGTGGTAAACATGTCAGGTTCATTACTGTTGGGTAGTCAAAAGTGGTTGCACAGTCAAGCAAAGCCTAAGTGCTACTTTGAGTGTGAGCTACTAGACTCTGGGGTATGGTATGGACTTAACTTAATTATTGACAAGTTATTTATTTTTTACATTTTCAATATAATACAATGCAGCATTGTCAAACGCAGAGCTGCTTGCATGTTATTGTAATTATTTTTATTCCTTCAAATTCAAAGCAAAGACCATCATACAAGCACAGTATCATACATACATGTATAATGGTCTTTGAGTTTCAAACCATGCCATCAAAAAGATAGAAAGTAATGATGTGTAAAGGCGCAATGGGTGTAATCTGTAAATGTAAGTTAAGTAATTAATAATTATTATTCTATTAATAATTAGTAATAGACTAATAAATATATAATAATAATAATCTGAAAGAAGAGCAAGAAGTGGCATTGAGCTAACTCAGTGATTAGTACAAAAATCTGACAACCTGAGTCGCGAATAAAGTGCCCCTTTTCAACATAGCAAAAATTAAACGTCTTATCACCAATTTCATAAATTCTTGGCTTGTGAAATTTTAAAAAAGTCATCACCTCTCCCGTTTCTCATACAGATGATTAAAAGTTAACTTTAGTAATAACTTCAAATTTAAAAAACTGCAATTAACGCAAGGCTATAGGTAAAGATATATTAAAATTTGCAAAAAAAAATCATCAAGAATCAATAATTGGATAACTTCTGAATTTTTCCCCTCCTTGTGTGCTCTTTATTTCTCTTACCTTTAGAATAATAGTGTATAATAATAAGAATAATAATAATAATGTCATTTATGAGCGCCCTATGCATAGCGTCAGATGCGCTCGGATAAACAAATGTCAGCACGGCCGCCAAAGGCCTGTTCAAACAGATGCTGCTTCAATCGCTTTTTAAACGTTTCTCTTGATGATTGTTGACGGATGATGAGTGGCAAACTGTTCCATATTGATGGTGAGCAATGTGAGAAGCCTTTATAAGACCATTAACGTTTTTAATTTTTGACGGGTCAAACAGTGTTGTTTACTTACGGTGCTGCAACCATAACTGTAACCATTATAATTTACGACAAGCCGAATCAATACTCATATAACAAAGACATCCGATAATAAATATTCATTATAATATTACATAAAAAACGATACTTATTGGTAAAATTTTTTGAGATCTCATTTTTATTAAAAATTTAAATGAAATTAAATGGTTTCAATTTTTTGGTACATTATGGAAGGTGTAAAATGGTTTTCATTGGTGGTTGGCAAAAATGAGTGAAAGGCAAGAATTTGATTTGATTTTATATTTTTATATGTCGTCATATGCGGTATATCGTCTAATGTGTTGAAAACTTAAAATATTGATGAAAGTGAAGATAGTAAATAATGATAGTAGTTGATGTAGTTTTTGCTTTTTGGAGAATCTACATGCTTATAGACCCATTGACATCAACAAGTTTGAAGCCAGTGAATCCATTATTTTGGAGGAATAAAATAAAGACCGGATTAAGCACCGAGCGATACCTCCACAAAAAAAGGGTCTTCACAATATCGAAACTACGAAGAGTCATCAGCAGTACCGGATTAAGACTGTTTTGAGCCCTGGCCGAAATGTATTTAGAAGCCTTTAAACTAACCCTTCGATTCATTGAACTACATTTTTTAGCAACACCAAACTCAAAAAAGCTTTACGAGTACACAGCAATTTGACAAAGCGTATCCCGAATCTTTTTGTGGTTCACAGCAAAAGCATGACAGGCATTATAATCATGGGAAAACCATCTTGTATCAGCTGCTCTCTTCAACACGACTGCGTCTTTCGTCAAATTACTTGTCATCTTGGTCTATCGGCCAAGAAGGTGTAGATGACTTGTATGAATATAAAAGGGTAAAAACCCAAGAACAACATTTAACCGCACATGCCCCTACAAGGTTCAACAGATGAGTGACAGAAGGAAGGAATCTATTCAACTAAACTGTTGACTTGCTTAATTCTTGCTTGCAGCCCAGAGTATTGACCTCACATACTACTAGCGTTGTCGTAGCTCTTGTCACAGCAATTGTGGATGTCAATGTAATTTTCTGTGTGAGTAGATAAAACTGTGTTGGCCAGATTTTCACTATTATGAGCTTTGATGGGAACAAACGTAAAAAAGCGCTAGATAGGAAGATGGTCTTTTGGAGACATATATTGGATTATGAGTAAGTTGGTCAGTGTGGCTCACGTCAAGTGTAACCGAGAAATACTTAGTTATAAATTGTTTGCAAGTTGCTGATAACAGATAAGTTACTTGACCTCGTTCTTTATTTCCAAATCTAGTCATATGCTCTTTTAGAATTGGATTAAACTTTGCCAGGAGCTCTAAAGATTCCAAGTATACACCATTAGAAGTTGATCTAATTATTTCATTTTCACCTCCGAAAGGCAAATCACGTTCTGCCAAGAAATTGACAACTGCAGCCACACGTTTCAAGACTTCTCTCCAATAGTGACTGTTGCATCAATTGTGAGTCAATTGTTCAGAGCACTCGTGTTCTGTTTAATATGCTAGCAAAGATGTTTGGTGTTCAACACAGCTTTCAGATTCTGAAAGCCTTTGTGTAGCATGCTTCCAATCGCTAAAACCAGTGGTAAACTGCTGCGATTCGGAAGGTGAAAACAATAGACTGATGTAACAGAAAAGAGAAGCAGTAGATTTTGAAAGCTTCATCTAATTTTCCGTTCCGTTTTTTCTTTCTATTGTTTGGCAATATGCGGTAAAACATTTCTTCGGAACAATACCGTTGATTACACTATACATTCGAACAGACCCTGAGAAGTCAATATCATTAATAGTTTCAACTGGTGGATGCTGCACAAAACGTTGTCGTAGTTCATTTATGATAGTCCATGCGGCAGGATTATCACTGACACGGAAGGAAGATTGTTTATAGCCTACAACATCCGACTGCAGAGGAAAGTTTTCTTCAGTACTCTGTACAAAACTTGATCATCTGTTTTGGATTGACAACAATGGGTCTAAGTAGATAAAGCCATATTTTCGAGATAGTACTTGTCAGCAATAGAAAACTCTGAGATGGACTACATGGTAATGTCAACCTGAGATGACGACGACGGCATGCTTGATGACAGAAGCTTTGGCAGTGCACAGTTGGAAAACGTTATTACCAGCTAAGGTAACAATTTGAAGAAATTGCTTAGTTTCTAGCATTTACCAACTATATTTTTAACTTCATTAACACTGTCTTCCAATCCAAAAGAAAATGGTTTTTCGTAGTTGAAAAAAATGAGATAGTTGGAAGAAGACTCAATTAAAAACTGTCACAAACATATTGATCATTTTCAACAATGCTTTGAAAAGAGAAATGAAAAACAATTTGACAGCGCAGGAAGGCACGTGTTAATAAAAAAAAATTGCAGCCACAACTCTGTAGAAGAACAAGTAAACTGTAAAAAACTTATCGAGCATATTTAAACAATAGAATTAACAATAGGTATAAATACTTCAATTGTGTACATGTGTGCGATCCACACGTAGCACATGTATATAACGTACTAATCCAATAATACAACTACACGCAGTTAATACATTTAAAGATATATTATAGTACTATATTTATAGTGGGTATACAAAATGCCTATAATATATATTACATAGATTAAATCGTCTTTTCGATTGACGATGGTACATAAAATTCTTTAAAATAATTTATGCATGTGCTACTTATTGCTGTGATCGCTTGAAAGAAGTCTCAATATGCAACAGTATGTATGCACCATACCTACAGTAATAAGGTGTTTTATAGGATTGAATTGAATGTTTGTGCATAAATGAATAAATGTATTAACAGTTTAAACAAATTTTCGTTGGAAATATTGTAGCTGTTTCTTTCTTCAGTCTTTGAGTCACTGTGAGTCTGTGAGTGAGTGAATGTGTTAGCAAATCATGTCGTTTGTTTGCTCTTAACTTCAGGTGAACGTATGGTGGTGGAAGTAGAATATACAAAAATCAACATATTTTAAATCATTGGTTTTTTATATGGGTATATTCAATATAATATATGATGCTTAGATATAACCGTATATATACTTACAATATATATCATATATCCGATATATATAATGTATAGATATCCGATATAATTCATTCTTATAACAGCATAAATCCGATATACATATATATATATATATCATATATCCGATATATATAATGTATAGATATCCGATATAATTCATTCTTATAACAGCATAAATCCGATATACATTGATGAATTTTCTGAATAAAGATTAATTAGTAACTAATACAGTATTATAGTACTTGTTACCACTGTTGTTAGATTAAGATTATTATATTATAAATTATAATTATTGTTGTAGGTTCTCACCTTTAATTTTAATATGATTATTATTTTATTAATAATTTGATTCCTTAAAATAAATAAATAAATAAATAATGAATAAATTATTAGTAAAGTAGTGAAATCAATTTATTTATTTATTTAATTAAATTTATTTATTTGTTTGTTTTATTCAATAATTTTTTCTCTGAAAAAAAGGGATTATAAAATCTCATATAAAATTATATGAAAACATGGAATCATCATTTAGTGAGCTGAATATTATTCAGGTAATATTTTTTTATGCACCTTTTTTTCAAACTTTTAAAAATGGCATGTATGTATTCTGTATTGTATTGTAAACAAATAAATAATTATATATTATAAAAATATTTAAAATAAATAAGTGTATTGAATTGCATTGTATTATAATATATATATATATATATATCATAAGGAAAGGACATAACCAACGTATTAACAATTTTTTCAAACTTTGAAAAAATTGCTATTTGAAAAAATTGCTATTTGAAAAAATTGCTAGTGTGTATCTGTGAACATTTGTGTATCTGTATATTTATTTATTTTATATTAATATTACAAGTTTAATTCAATAACATAACAAGTAAACTTATTTTAATAAATGCATGTATTTTGCTATTGAGTGACAGTGTGGTAAACCTTTGGGCATTAGTTTGAGGATAGAGTTAGGCAAAAAGACTATTATATTAATTTTTATATAATTTATTTTATATTATAATTTCAATATTAAAGTTTTTTGAAACTCTAAATTAAAATTAAAGTAAATTGTGTTCATAGTGTTTTTAGCATTTTTAATTTTATACTTATTTTTAAGGCTTTAACCTAACTTTACTATTCTGGTTCTTAGTTTTTTTTACATTTGCTTATAAAAAACTTACTAATAAATAACATATCAATGACAATCTTTTACTTCCATCACCTTAATTTTGAGTTGACTTTTACGAGGGGTAAGGAAAATTATTTTATGCAATAATTTAAGTTTAGATAACATTAGATTGATTAGAATTTCTTTAATAATTATGAATAATGTTTTTGAGATTATCTTCTTAACTGTGATGTTTACAATCTGTTATCTAGAAAAATTATCTAAAGTTATATGAATGGCTCTAAATTTATTACTTTATTTTATAATTATCAATACTACTATAATAATTTTTTTTTCAATTGTTGGTAATTGTTTCTCATTAATGCATTTTTGGCATAATTCATTTAATATGATTGAACAAAGTGAATTTTATAATTTTTAAATATTCTTTACAGTTTAATAAACTGATTCTTCTATAAAACAGCATTAATCATCTCAAATATTTTGTAATAATATTTGAGCAGCTGTTAATTTGATTACATTTTGTCTAATGACATTACTTTTAACTTTAACAACATACCATGTGACTACATTTTGATTAACTGATATGTCAAGCCAACAATCTGCTTGCTTTTTACCTTTTACTGTTTTAAAGATGTTTGTGCCTTTAAACCTTAAGGAGTGTTTTTTGCATATTTTATTGCTTTTTGTTTTAACATTCAATGTTGGGCCAGTATTTGAAGAATGATGATATCATACAGATAATGTAACTAATTAAAATAAATAAAAGAATAAATTAAAAGAATTCATTTTTCTAGTTTTACAATGTCATTTTGTCAACGTTATTTCAATATCAATTGTCAAGCAAATTTTTCCATTTTTTGCTGAATGATTATTTTATAACATTGTATGGTTTGCAGTAACTTGATGTAAATTCTAACTAAATGATTTTGTTGATTATTTCTTTAGTTGCATAATTTTTTCGAATTTTCAATATCAGAATGTTTCAATGTTCTGTTTATGTGTAGGAACATGAGGAAGAAGACTTCATGATATCCACAATGTTGGGATCAGCTGATGAGGGCAGGTTGGAGGACATAGAAGATCTTCTCATGGATGTTCCCAACATCAACATTGATATCCACAACAAGGTACCTCTCTGCGAGATCACCTGATGTTAAGTTCATATAACCTCATTAACATTATTATTTTCATTGTCTGGACAGCACTTAGAGACAGCCCTGCATTTTGCCTCTGGTGCTGGTCATTTGGATGTCGTGTTGTTTCTCATCAGCAGGGGATCAAATGTCAACTGTAAAGATAAGGTTGGTTTTCTGTGCTGTTATCATGGGTGTGATAACTTTTCAATTATTCGTCAATTTAATGGTTAAACTTAGTAGCAAAGCCAAAATTACTCATAAGGCAGGGAGTTTTGTCAGGCTCCCAATGAACTAATTAACAGCTATGTTATGCTCAGCTTCATGCTGAATTCTCTCTCACACACACATGTGTACATTATGTTTACATTAGTTGTTCAACTCTGTGAGATTTAATGCTGCAGAGCTCTGTGAGATTTAATGCTATTGATTGTTTGTGTGCTGTTGAAACTAATTAGGAACACAAAACATATCTTGGAATGATATTTAGCTTTGTAATAATTGTAAATGTTAGTTTAACTTATTTTTTTCTTCATATTTCAGTATTAATCCAAAGATTTATTTCATATATTTATTATGAAATTGTTGATATCAGGTTCAATCGTTTATTCATGTTTGTTTGATACTGCTATAAAAATATTACTGATGTCCGAGTGGGCTATTTCACACTGCAGTTACATATAAACAGCTTTTGTCTTAATCAAACCAGATTCTGGCTGCTACTTTGTATGCATAGATTCGTTTGAGGTTGTTTGTTTATTAATTATTTTCTTTGGTGCCCAAATTTGTTAACCCATTATTGATTTGTTGTTTTGGTTGTTGTTGTATTTTATGAAACTTTTGGATTAACGTTTCATTTGTTGCTGTTGTTGTTGTTGTTGTTGTATCTTATGAAACTTTGGGATTAACGTTTCATTAAACTTCATAGTACATCAATGTTGAAAGTTTTGCATAATATTCACCAAATTCAACCTCAACAAATTCTTTTCTAATTTGTCTACAAGTTTTATTTTACATATTATTTCCATAATCTCTTGACTTCAAGTTTTGCTAAACATCTTTCACAACTTTTGCTTTTGTTGGATGACTCTTTAAAAAGAAATATTCCAGATGTCAATTTGTCTTTTAAGAAATTAAATGTTACTACTAATGTATTTTTTTGAAGAAATATTATATTAAGATTTATAATATTGTGCTGCCTATTTTGTTGGTTGGTTGATGGATCAACTTACAGTTTTTAACTTTATGGATAAATTTTAACGAATAAATTTTTCAAATTTCTGCAGCATGATGACACGCCATTGTACTGGGCTTGCAGGCAAGGCCACTTGAAGGTTGTCGAAGGTTTGATAGCCAACGATGCTGACATCCATACCAGAAATAAGGTGATGAGAATGTCGTTATTCTTGATGATTCAATGTTTGCTACAATGGAGAACAAGTATTTTGAATACAATCTATATGTATAAATAATTTTGAAGCTTATCTGATAGAAAAATTCAGCTGAGCATATTCTTTCATGAAGCAGTGAAAATTCACTGACAATTTATTCATTTAAGATTTTAACCAACCATGGACTATAAGGAATAGCTAAACTGAAAAACGTCATCAAAAGCTTTTATTCTCCACTAATTGCATTTTAAAATTGCAAACAGAAATTATTTTCTTGTCATGTGGTTATCTCTGAATTATCTCCATTCTTTTTGTTGATTTTACTTAGATTCACTCACCATGGTTTCGGATCAGTTTTTTTTTATAACATAGTCAAAATATTTCAAAAAACTTAATCAGAATATTAGCACTAAATAATGTTATTTATACATTTATCTATAGTACTTTTTCTTCACTGTTGTAATTTAAAATTTATCTGTCCATACGATCATGTTCAAGAAGTACAAATTTATGTTTTGAAGTATATCTTTTTTTTTAATTTCATGAATAATTTTGATTTTACTTGAATATTTTGTTTAAATCTAAATAATTGGGTTAAAAGACCAAAAATATTACCTCCTCATATTTACTTTTACTTATTTTTTAAAAACATTTCAAGACTGATCTTAATAAGTTCATCAAATATTGTGTTCATGGAGAAAACTTATTTTGTGAAAGTATGGCCACATGTTGTAAGCAATACTCATTTTAATATTTGAGAACTGTTTCTATCAGTGTTAGTGTAACAGTGAGTGATTGTATCAACTAGCCATTTATTTTAAAATTTGCAATTCAGATTCTTATCACTCTATTGTTTCACGAAATCCATCCACGTTGAATAATAAATTGCAGCCTACTTGAAATGAATTTCTGTGCTGTATTAGTTGATTATTTTTATTTTAAATCTTTATAATTATTGCAATTTTTTCCGCATGTTTGTCATTAACGAAATATTTTGAGTACAAACACTAAATAAGTATGATCTTAGTTGTTTTTTCAGTTAGGTATCATTATGTTAAAAACGGATTATACTGTTTTTAAAATGTACTTTCTTAGCAATTATTTATATCATTATTTATATCATTATGTTAAAAACGGATTATACTGTTTTTAAAATGTACTTTCTTAGCAATTATTTATATATTGAATTTATTGTGAAATTTAACAATTTTAATGAAAATTAAATTTTTTCAAAGTTAATAAAATATGATTAAGTTAGTTTTGTTGATTAAGTTAGAGACTATAATAAATGACGTGGCAGTCACATGCTCTCTACTGACTGGATGAAGAGGTGTGAGAGGGGTACAGAGAGGTGTAAAATTTTTTATTCAAATCCGTAAATACCATCATGAGTTTTATCAAATGACAATTTTTTGGCATTGGTAATTATTGCAATTAGACTGAACAAGTTCAAGCATTTTAAATTTGTAATTCAACTCGTGTAATTTGAAGTGGATTCAGTGGGAGCTGTTGTAAATTCATCGTATGAAATTTTTTATATTTTGTTTTTATTGCATAGAATGCTCTGATAGGAATATATAATCATAATGTGATACAATAGTGTAAGCTCTGGTGATTTATTAGTGTATGCTGCATTGGCACAAGTCAACAGTCAGGTGACACAAAAATGCGCATCACCTACTTTCAATTCATTTAATTACAGACGAATCTTTTAATGAACATGTCTTGGTGTAGATAGTGCAGCCTTTTTGGCATGAAAGTTTGATTATAAGCATAGAATAACATGTGTCAGCAGATCTGCGTTTGACAAAGTTGCATTTTAAAGGATAAAAAAACAACACTTGTTCACAACTGTAGCTATGATAAGAATGAATAATAATTTGCAACCGGCTCAGAAGCTTTTCTTATTTTTTGTAATTATATTATTTTGCTTTGTTTAATCAAGCATATGTTTAAGAATTTTTTACTATTTGTCGCCCCAAAAATCTGAGTCAGATGAAAATTTTTCTGACTCCGACTCCTTATTCCGACTGCCAGCAAAAATTTCCAACCTTAACTTCCAAACTTTTACTTGATAATTTTGTTTAAATACCACTACTAAATAAAAAATTCATCAAAAAACATTTAATATCAGTCAACGTAATGGCTTTTCTTAGTAAAATGATTTTATATTTGAGTTTTAAAATATTCTAAAAGATTTCATAATACCACTACTGCCACTACTATTACTTTATGAGCCGTGAGCACTCGTGTGGTTTGAAGTGTCTTTTCTTTCAAAATTACTATCAGCGAGTAGAAAAAAATGTTGTGATTATTTTACATATATAAGCGCGGTTTTAAAATAACCTTTTTTTATAACTTGTTAAAATTACTAAAGATTGCACAGTTTGTTGGGTAACATCTTTTATCAGTATTAAAGATGATAGCATATTGCTACACACGATGTTGAAAAAATATTTTTAGAAAATATTTAAATTTTTTAAATTCTAAACACTAAAAAATATCTAACTTTGTAGCAGTTGCGCTTATGTTTGAGAACACCGAACCAAGAAGAGCAGTAAGCGGGAGAAGAAAAGAATAGTATTTGTTTTGATAGACTTGACACGTGTTTTGTCCCTACCAGGGACTCATCAGCAGCCCGAATACCTATCGGAATAGTTATCGCAGTTTCTTATATAGCCCGCACAAATCACCTCGTTAGCTGATGGTGTTTTATTTATTGTTGAAGATTGTTAGTTTTTTTAGTCGTTAGGCTTTCAATCCGACAACTTCGACTCATCGAAAAATTTCGACTCCGCTGCTCTTGTTGTACAAACACAAGTTGCAATCTTCCACAAACCCCTCAAACTTTCCTTTTTTCATTATTTTGCAATTATAGTTAGCAATTTGTCAAGTGTTTGTTAACAAATGTGAATTGATGTTTACAATTGAAGTGTATCGTTTGCTAACAGACTGGTCAGACATGTTTGCACGCTGCTGTGAGATACCAGCGAACGGAAATCATCAAATACTTGTGCCAAGCTGGAGCTGACGTCAATGCCCAAGATCAGGTTGATTCGGAGTTTAATTTATTTTTCGCCTATGTTCTCCATTCCGAATTCTTTTCACCAACATTTTTCGACATTTTAAATTTGCTCTAGTTTTTCGTTATTTACGATGTTACCATGCGTCATATTTAGATAGTGCAGTGATGGGTCTTGCTTGTTGTGACCGAATTTGAATGTAGAAAGATGCTCACCTATCAGAGTCAACGTGTATCATGATTTGATTCACGTCATGTGTGTGTGTGTGTGTGTCTTCTGAGTATTACGTTAAAAGAGATTGACCATTCCCATTATATATTAATAATTTTTAACAATTGTTCTATGTATTTTTCTTGCAAGCGAGGTGAAACAGTTATGCACATGTGTGCCTGGTTGGGTCTACCATTTGAGATTTGTGAAGTGCTCTGCAGTCATAACTCTATGCAATTTTCAACCAGAAATAAGGTTAAAAAGATAATATTAACTTTTAATACAAATTTAAAGTATTATGGCTAATGTTGTTTTGAAAACTGAGATAATAATTTTGTTTAATTAATGTTTAAATGGTCAATTTTTAGAATGGTGAAACTTGCATGCATGTGGCGGCTGGCAGAGGAAGTCTTGACTGTTTAAAGTGCCTGCTCAAATATGGAGCTGACATCAACATTCTTGATAAGGTTACTTATCCTACATGGCTTCAACATTTAGAATTTTAAAAATAAATATTTAAGGTGAATGAGGATGTAATTATGATAGTCTCATAACTATAATTTTTTATTCCTCTGATGTCATTTTCTTAACCAAATGAATTTTTTTTTCTCCTCCTAACCGAATGAAATCAGCGCAAGAGTACAGCCTTACATTTATCCTGCCACTGTCAGCACCTGAACATCGTGAAGGAGTTGCTGGTACACGGCAGCTGCCACATGGATGCCGTCGATCAGAATGGAGATGCTGCCATCCACATCGCATGCCACGCAGCCATCCTACCTCTCGTTCAGCTGCTCTCTGCCAATGGATGCAATGTTGATCTCATCAATAAGGTTATGTTGCTTGCAATCGTGTTTATTTTAAATACGTGTTTGTTTTATTTAAACCTGTTTATCTATTGTGCTACTCAGTACGAATTAGTGAGGTTAAATATTTTATTTATTGATTATGTTAATATGCACTGTGTTTAAAACAAACAAATAGATAAATTAATGAATAACAACAACAACAAACACACGTTTAGACGACATTTTCCCCGAGATCGGGGGTTGCCGTTTGGCTACCTATGATGAAACCGAAATACCCCTCGACGCCATCCACATCTGTCACTCGCCTCAGTATCACGCAACCCCGCTTTCACCCTGTCCTTCTCCACCTGCTCTCTCCATCCCAATCGTGGACGACCCCTTCCTACCACTCCTTCAACCTCGAACTCCAACGCTCGCCTAATCTCGATCCTTTCATCCCTTCTCAACACATGTCCATACCACCGCAATCTCGATCTCCTTATCAATGTCACAATGTCCTCATTCAGTCTGTACTACTCCTCCTATCCTTCACTTTAACCCCACACATCATCCTCACCATAGCTCTTTCAGCCCTCTGCAGTATACTTTCCTCCTCTCTCCTCAACACCCAAGTTTCACCACCATATACCATCGCTGCTCTCACGCATGCTTTATATACCCTCCCTTTCATCTTCACTGACCATTTCTTTCCACACAATACCCCACCCAGTCCCCTAAATACCCCACAATACCCCACCCAGTTCCATCTCACACGAACTCTAGCCGTAACTGCGCTCAAACATCCTCCATCCGCGTTCAGCTTATCCCCTAAGTAAACAAAGCTTTCCACTCTTTCAATACCACCACTCAACCCCGTCCTTGCGTCCGTCCTATTAATCACACCATGAACACATTTCTTACATTTGAACGTGCCTTCCACTTTTTTCAGTGCCCCCTTCACACCACTACATCTCTTATGCACCCATTTCTGACATCCTATACACAATACCAAGTTAGCCTTCACTCTCCTGTCACATACTCCACAGGGGTCTATTTTACTTATCACTCGCTCCCCTCCTTCCCCACTCACCATTACCTTCGTCTTACCAATATTAACTTTTAACCTTTTCTTTTCAATAACACTTTTCCATCTGTCAAATTTCAACTGCAATTCTTCCATGTTATCAGCCATCAAGACTAAATCATCTGCATACAAAATCTCAAATAACAACCCCTCCATTATGTTTCCACACACAACATCCATCACAATTGCAAACAGAAACGGTGATAACACTGATCCTTGATGCACTCCTACCTTAACACTAAAAGCGTCCGATATTCCCCTTCCAACCCTCACCCTTCCAACCCTTCCAACCCTTCATACAGCTGCATCACAGCTTTAACAAGTCTAGATAAATTAATGAATAAATAAATAAATAAAGGTGAATAATTGTTGTAATAAATTTAAAAATTTTCAATATTGACATATATTTCAAATGTATGAAGTTTTTGCATGCGAATAAATGATTGATAAAAAATGAATTCACCGCCTAATCAGTCAGGATTGACACCTTTACACATAGCTTCGAAGCAAGGAAACACGGAGATCGTTCGTTGCTTGCTGCTCGCTGGTGCCAACGTAGACATACGCAACAAAGTTCGTTTCATGGGGGTGATGATGATTTGAGAATGTTCATTATGCTGAGATGCTTGAATTAAAATGGAGAATAATTTATGAATAAATATAAAAAATTACGACTTTAGAGGTCTTTATAATCATAGTTTTTTTGTAAAAAATTATCTATAAATGCTTGGATCTCATTGTTACATGAAATTCATTTACAGAGTAACATTACGGCTCAGATGATAGCCTTGGCACGTGGGAAGAATAACATTTCAGACCTGCTGACTAGAATCACTCCTGTTAGTGTTGATGTTTGTGTGGTTTGTTTTTGATGGTTGTTGCTGGTGTAATCAAGTAGTGAAATGACATAATATCATAACAAAATATCTTTGAACGATTTTGGATTTAATTTACTCGATAAGATATTATTTACTTATGCCAACATTCCTTGATTTTGATTTTTTTGTAATTATAACAACTGCTCATCTTACATACCTTTAAAAAGAATCACAGACTTTTTTTGTCAGTTTAACTGTTTTTCTAGAATGCAAAGTTTTTATGTTTCTACAGATATATAATACATTTATTTGAAAAAATTATTTTTCCATCGTTTTTGGCTTGTTAGAAGTTTGGTTCGTTGGTGTAGTTATTTTTTTCATAATGTTTCAATCAATCAATCAATCAATCAATCAATCAATCAATCAATCAATCAATCAATCAATCAATCAATCAATCAATCAATCAATCAATCAATCAATTAGCTTATAAAGCGCTATTTCCGCGATGTTCAACAGCGCTCCTCAATGAATTTTGAAACCAGATGGGTCTTGAGATCCGCTCTGAACTTCGCAAGTGATGGAGAAGTAGTCAGAGAAGTAGGTAGAGAGTTCCAGAGAAAAGGACCAGAAAAAACAAAAGCAGATTTGGCAAAAGAGTGTTTAACACGAGTTAAGAAAAAGCGAGAAGAAGAAGACGATCGTAAACCGGGGCGTTTAGGTTCAATTAATATATCTGATAAATACTCAGGAAATAATTTAGATTGAGACTTATACATGAACGTGCAAATTTTAAAAATCATTCTATATTTTATAGGTAGCCAGTGCAGGAGAACAAGATATGGAGATATATGAGAAAAGAAAGGGGCACGAGCAACTAGACTAGCAGCAGAGTTAAAAGCTTTACTTAAAGGATAGAGTATAGAGTCAGGAAGACCATAGTAGAGCGAGTTACAATAATCAATCCTAGATAAGACTAACCAAGTAACAAGAAGGAGAAGAGTAGGATCATCAAGAAAAGGCAAAAGTTTTTTTATCCTACGTAGATGAAAGTAAGAGCCTCTAGCACCACTATTAATCTGAGAAGAGAGAGACATAGTAGAATCAAAGATAAAACCTAGACTACGAAACTTATGAGAGACATCAAGAGTTTTAGAATCAGGTAAGATAATAAGAGGAATAGTAATAGAGTGTTTAGATTTATTAAAACAAATTAATTCAAACTTAGAAGGATTAAGTTTAAGACACATAGAGTCAGACCAAGCAATAATTGAAGAAAGACATAGAGATAAATTATGAAGAACACTATTGAGATTAGATGGAGGAAAAGAAGTATAAATGTAAGAATCATCAGCATATAGTTGACTAGAGAAAGAAAAGTTATTAATAATACGAGGTAGTTCAGAAGTATAGAGTATAAATAGAAAAGGGCCAAGGATAGAACCCTGAGGTACCCCGAAAGTAAGAGTAGAGGAGTTAGAAGTAGAATTATTGAGAACAACGGAAGAAAAACGATTACAGAGATAAGAAGAAAACCAAGATAGACAAGAATCAGTAATATTAAAAGAATGATGCAGCAGTCTCAAGAGAATAGTATGGTCAACAGTATCAAAAGCCGAGGAAAAGTCAAGAGCAAGAAGAAGAGTAAGATTACTATTGTCACTAGAGAGAAGGATATCATTGTGTATTTTGAGTAAAGAAGTTTCAGTACTGTGAGCAGGTCTGAAACCAGATTGAGATACAAGTAGCAAGGAGTTAAAGTTTAAATAGGATGACAGTTGATTAAAAACTACTTTTTCTAATATTTTAGAGATGAAAGTAATATTAGTTACAGGTCTATAATTAGATAAAGAGGTAGGATCTAGGGATGTGTTTTTAAGAATAGGAATAACAATAGAATTCTTATAAGAAGTAGGAAATGTAGAGGTGGAAAGAGATAAATTAACTAATTTGAGAATGATTGGATAAAATATTGAAGAAAATTCTTTAAGTAAATTAGAAGGAAGTAGATCTAGAGAACAGGTTGTAGACGACATAGAATTAATAATTTTAGTTAGTTCTAAAAGATTTATTGAAGTAAATACAGAAAAAGATTCAGTAGTAAGTTTAGTGAAGTTATGAGAAGAAAAATTAGAATTAGATGTTCTTAAAGAAGTAATTTTATTTACAAAAAAGTCATGAAACTGTTGAGCAGAAAAAGATGAGTGAGAGGATTTTTTATGTAGAAGTTTAGATAGAACAGACCACCTATTTTTAGATGTTGAAGCAGATGGTATAGAATTTCTAAGAAAAGTAGAGTGTTTGGAGAATAGTAGATATTTATAATTAATCAATTCAGATTCATAGATAGAATAAAGAGAGTTAGATGGATTTAACCTATAGGCTTTCTCCAGTCGTCTGACACTTTTCTTGGCTACTACACAAGCATAATCAAACCAAGGAGCCTTACGAGAATAGAGCCTATAAGTAAAAAATTTAAGAGGAATAAGCTTATCAAGAATAGAAGTAATGTAGATATTAAAAGCATACACAAAATCATCAACATCAGAAAATAAGGTAGTATCAAAAATAGTTTCAGTAAGAGATTGAAGAAAAATATCTTTATTAAGAGAAGACCAGCATCTTTTAGAAATAGACATAGATGAATTTGAAGGAAGGAAATCTAATGAAAAAACAGATTCAATAAGAAGGTGATCAGAATAAGGAACAGAGCTAGCAGAGATATTAATAGGCTTAGAAAAAGATGAAGCTATAATAAAATCAATAGTGTTACCAGAAGTATGGGTAGGAAAAGAACAATATTGAGTTAAGTTAAAAAGAGACAAAATATCATTAAATCTTCGAGTGTAAGAACATGATAAATTATTGAAGTGCAAGTTGAAATCACCAGATATGTAGAAAGGAATAGAAAAAGAGTAGAGAGATTCAGCGAGTGAGTAGAATTCGTCTAAAAATAAAGTGAGAGAAGAAGAAGGAGGGCGATAGATTACAGCAATATAGAAAGATAGAGAAGAAGACTTAAGAGATACAGCAAGACATTCAAAAGAAGAAAAATTAAAGGAAGTATTAATGGAAGCAGTAAATAGAGATATATAAAATAGACAGATACCCCCATAAGAAGAATGAGAAGATGTTAGAAGATTTTTTGGTGGTCTAGAGAGTTCAAGGAAGCTGTAACCATCAGGAGTAGCAAGAATAAGAGAGGGAGAGTTAGAGTCCTAGTGCCAAGTTTCAGTAAGAGTAAAAAAATCAGGTAAGGAGGAAGAGATTATTTGATGGATATAGAGCGATTTTTTATTAATTGATCTTATGTTAATATTAAATAGTGAAAATGTAGAGGTAGGTTGGATATTGGTACTTTTAAATCTAGTTATATAATTTAAACTAATAGAATTAGAATTATTATTCTTATCGTTAGTATTAATTAAACTAGAGTGGGATTTAATAAAGTTATTCTTATTATACTTGCTATTAGTATTATTATTATTATTAATATAATTATTGTTACTAACTATATTTATATTTTTGTTAGAGTTAGATTTATTGTTTTTATTGTTATTATTAGACCTAAGATTAAAGTAAAAAATTCGCCGCCGAACTACTCTCGTCGTAGACAAAGGAGTGTTAGAGAGGCTTAAGAGAAAGTCTCTAGAATAAGACATAATAATATTTACAAGTTAAAAAAAAGATATAGAAAGATATAGAAAAAAATAGTCATAGTAAAAAAGAAGAGAACTCACTTGTTCAGAAGCAAAAAACAAGAAACCACCCAAATTACAAAACCACCGAGAAAACGTGCCGCCATCACGCTAAACGTTTGCAACTTTTCTGTATTTTTTAATATATTTTTTTATATAATTAAGTTAACGTTTACGGCAGCTTTCTTAATGTTCATTGTAAGGTGAAATTTTCATTTGAAATATTGCACGACGTGCACATTTATGTTGAACTTTAGGACAAGCAGGATGCATTCATCAAACAACTCCTGCCATCCACCGTCAGCCTTTCACGAATCAAACTGAAAATATTTGGCAACAGTGGCGTGGGCAAGTCCCTTCTTATAAATTCACTCAAGTGTGGATTTTTTGGCAGTCTGTTCAAGAAGACAGTTCCTGCAATTGCTTCCTTAGCAAACATCCAACAACAGTGTCTCCAACACCAACAACAACTACAACATTCTTTGTCATCGGATCAGCACGGTCAATTAAACAGCACACTAGTCAAAAGTAAATTTAGCAACAGTTTTGTGTTTAATTAAAGCAAAGGTCATATTTCATTAGAGCTGTATAAATAGTTCTGTTTTCTTCAAATGTGTTAAATAAGACCTTTAATATAATTTTTAAACGTTTTTCTAAGACGTTCTGCAGCATGTCATTCAATTTGACAAGTTAAGCTGTCATCATTATATGGAAAGTATAAGGCTTTTTGCTAAGAATGTTAAACAGTCATATAAAAATATTTAAATATTAACATATAATGAAACCTATAATGAAAATGTTTACCACTGAACACAAATGAAGAGAAGAAGCTTTCCATACCTCTCTCCACCTTCCACCTTCCAGTGCATGAGCACTATACGAAAGGGATTGATGTTCAAACGTCTTCACTTTCAGGTTGTTTTTGACCACCAATCTTTGCTATTATTTCTATATATAAAAGTTTTTTTGTGGGTAGAAAGTTCTTCTTTGTAGGCATTTGATCGATAAATTTTAAACTTTTTTTTCATTTCTGGTTGTAATACCAAAATTTTATAGTTTCCTATTTTTTTGAAAATAAAATTATAACTGTTGAAGATTTTTTTATAACGACGCTTGTATAATTTACGACAAGGTGGTGTTGGTGAGATGAGCATTTGGGAGTTTTCAGGATACGAATCATATTTCCAGTTTTATGATATTTTTATTGGTGATGTTAATTGCGTGCACGTGGTTTGTTTCAACCCATTTCAACCGTACCAGCAACAAGTTCAACAAATTAATTTCTGGTTGAATTTCATCAAATCTAGAATTCCTCCCTCTGATATCATTGGTCAGTATGTTCTGGTATTACGTTTTCAATATTTTTTTAAAGTTGTTATCTTATTCTTTGCTGCAGGTACAGAAGGTAAGTTGCCCATACGAGCCAAAGTTATCCTTGTAGGAATCATGCTGAAAGCTGATATGCCTTCTCCGCAACAATCTCCTACTAGTTATGACGAAGAATCGGATTTTTATAAACAACTTCAAAACTTTTATTTGACCATGAAGGTAGCTTATAAGCCAGACCTCGAAATTCATCCTCAGGTTTTTCTCATTGATCCATCTTACCCAATGTCCTCCCAAATTAAAGGTTTAAGATCATGTATTGCCCATTTAAAAGGACACATTTGCAAGGTTTGTATCTTGTACTTTCCAAGAAGTTCATTTGTTTGGCATGAAATTATCCTATCCAAAACATATCATTAATTAAACATTTTTTAATTTAAAATGGTCAAAACTATTCGTATATATTTTAGCATTAAAGTATACATTTTTTAATTTATTGCTAAGATTACAATTATACTCTAACAAATAGAAGATTATTTCCACTAATCTCATACAATTGTTTCATCCTCAAACTAAGTTGCCAAGGTTCAAAAAAGCCGTTCACGAATCTTAAGTTATTTGTGATGTATCAGCTCCATTTTCGTTCATATTACGTTATTTTCATTCAAGTAACGTTTGTTGTGCAGACTCTGCCATCTGGCGGTGGATTTCTCGATGCCACTATTCAGTCCTTGCCGGCCTGGAGACGAGTGCTTGCTGGCTATCCTGTCGTTTCCTGGTCTAATTTTGTTCATTATATAAGGTGATATCATCGTTTATGTTTTAAATTGTTCATTCACAGAATCTTTTACATTTCTCTTTCAATTTTTTAGATCGACAGTAAATTTGTTAGCAAGTGAGGAGCATTTAAAAGAACTTATATACAAACTTCAAGTCATGGGGGAGGTATGTCTGTTGGATTTTTGTTTTATTCTAGTTGAATAATGGAATGTTTGTCGTATAAACATCTTCGTTCACCCTATTTCTTTGAAATTTATTCATTTTTGTAAAAATATACTTCAAATAGGTTACCTTTGTGGAAACAGATAATTCTGATGAAGAGGACTCGGTGGTACTAAACATCAAATGGTTGTGCGCAGATGTCCTGGGCAAATTGCTCAGTAGTGCTATCACAACAACCTGTCGACCAACTGGTTGTTTTGGTCTTGAAGATTTTCAGTTGTTGTTTCCCGATTACGAAGCAGCTGAACTCTTGCAGTTACTTCAACATTTAGGATTGTGTACGAGATGTGAATTGGGAGATGATGATGATATTGGTTATAAATGTAATTTTGAACATAAAAATAAATTAAATCAGAAAACTTCTGACTGCAAAAGTATATCAGATGGTAAAGAAATAATAGAAGATGTTGAGGAAGATTATTATGGAGTTGAATATGAACTTCCTTGTTTGAATTTTTTAGAAACTTTAAATGGATTATGGGATAGAAATGACCCTTACCAAGCTGTAAATACGGTATATGGTGGATGTAGATATATTTTGTTTTGTCAGTTTTGCCATTCGTTTAAGCTGAACGCTGTCAGTGGAAGTAATTCCTCTACCCCATCCATCGAACACAAATCCAGCTTACATCATACGCGAGTCAATCGATCTCTTTCAGACAGCGTGGGTGAATCTTCTCTGGGATCCATGCATGTTACTTTCAGCACGACATCTTCTCTATCACCGCAACGACCAGCATCTACCTTATTACCAGTTCATCGTTTACCATCTCTAGATGATAGCGGTTTGTGTTGTCGCAACAACAATCAGTTCGGTCATTTATTTACTCGATTACAAACGAACCTTAGAAGACATTACATGCGGGAACGGAATCAGTTTGATGTTGATTTATATCAGTGGTTTAGAGGGTCTAAGTATTGTAAAGGTGATTTAGAAGTGATGATCACTTTTGAAAACAAACATTGTGTTTATTGTCACTCTGGATCACTTCCAAATACTTTGAATAATCAAATGGGTGGATTTGTATCGACAGGTTCATGCTTCTGCTGTCAAGGAGCAATTGAAATCAAATGTAGAGGACCGTCTGATATGGCAGAGCAGTTGTTTGAATTTTCCGAAAGTATTAAGCGGGTGTTTAGACGGACCATCGGCATGTGTTGTCCATCGCTAGACTACAGGGTTGAAATACTTAGCAGTAACCATCTATCTGATCATCGACTTTACGTTAAATCTTTTACACAACGAGAAATATTAGAAGCATATCAAACCTCAGGCATAGATGGCGTTGTTTGCTTTCAAGAAAATGATGAATCTGAAAGTGTTGAGTCTTTGTTAGATTTAATTGCTTTTGGGAGTTCGGATGTGGGAGATTGTTTAGTTTTTGGCACAAACCTCCAGGTCTCTACTTTACTAATAAATGTTAAAAGAAAATTAGCGGCTTGTCTCGATCCAAGTCATCATAACGGATGTGATTGGTGTATGCTGGCTATACTTTTGGGCTTATCAGATAAACTCCCAATATTTGATACTATGGCAGAGCAGATTGGAAACGTTCCAGTCAGTAAGACATGTCGCATTTTGACTCTCTGGTCTGGCATGGAATCCTCTAATGTAACCAACACATCCATTAAGGTTTTGGCCGATAGGTTAACCGAACTAGGAAGGCCTGATGCTGTGGATATTCTGTTAAACTTAGGAATTATGTATAGAAAAGTTCATATAGATCAGAATGAAATAGGAAGAGTTGAGGATAAATTTGAAGGTGATCCCATCTTATCATCAGAAAACGACGATGTTCGCGAAGAGAAAACTGATCATGATGAAAACATTAACAATGAAGACGAACGTCTCAAAAATAATTCTAGCAGCCCTCATGTCAGTGAAAAAGTTGATCAAGAAATCATTACAGACCGTGCGGAGCTTGATATGAACTGCTACGACGATCAAATCGATGATGACATTAACTTTTTTGACGATGATATTAACGTGAGTTATCGAGATGACGATTACAGTCAGAGTTACAGCAATGCAGTTAAACCTTTGCCGCTTAGCAGTGAAGGCATTTATCTGGATGACGAGGAAGAAGAAAATAAAGAATCCAACGATTTCATCAGCAGTCGTGTTGCTGAATGCGATAACGTCGCCAACAGTAATGTTGAATCTGTAGGTGGGACTAATAAAGTAAACGGACTTAAAAATGATTTGATTTTAGATGATTTAAAACATTATAGTTCTCAACTTCATGCGTCAGTATCATTAACCACCAAACCTGAAATTAGTTGAGCGCCGACTAAAAAACATTTCACTTTTAACGTTCCAATTTTGGCACTTGAAATTTATTCCTATTTCTAATATTATTGATAAATTAAGTTTGTCTGTGTGTCTTAAGATATATTCATAAGATATTTTATTGTAGATATATTATATTTCATTTTTATACATCATCCGATCGTCGATTTCTTCACTATTTTTTTTATAATTTACTTTGATTCATATCATTTTTATTTTTAAACATATCTGCAAATTATTTTATTGAGAAAAATTTTATATGTGCGTTTAATCTTTAATTATGTTTGATATCAAATGTTTTTTGACGCCTTACATACATTGACACTAATTAATTGATAGTGAATTTAAAAATAAAATTTGAAAACTTTAGTGCGTCAGATTCAAAGCGCAGAATTTTTTTAGTAAGAATTGTTTACTTTTTTTTGTAATCACTATACAATCACATCCGTTGTAATGTACAAAGTGTAACGAATAGCATCAATTCTATTGTTGCTTAAAATTAGGTGTATGATGTGAAGAAAACGATAAGACAGTTTTATTGATAAATTCAAATATGTAAATGCATTAAGCATTTAATTAAACAGATAATGAAATATAGCCTTCGATCTGATCCTTAGCCTAGAAAAGTTTGCGTCCTTGTGCTTTACCACTGCTCCCGCAGATCACTATTGCCCATACTATTCGGGGTCTGTGTTGGATTTGTGTATGCCCTGTACGATTTTGCACATTTTTATTGTCGACAAGTTTTTTTTATCTCAATTGAATATTTGAAGTTTTTGTATTTAACTGATCATATCAACTGATTTCAAACATGGCAATGCCATCACTTTGTGTTATCAATTTCGGCCAAAAGTTTATACGAATTATATTAACAACTTAATCGGAAAATACGTTGGTTTTATATGCTGTCCGTGATTGTTTCAGCATATTTTGAAAAGAATTTCGAACAATTATGTAGACTTGTATAATTATAAGTCTATACAATTGTTCGAAATTCTGAAACAGACTTTATTGCTCAAAATAAGTCTACACAATTGTTTGAAATTCTGAAATATAGTCATATATTGCTCAAAATGAGTATTAGTTGGTGAATCGTCTTCGTTATTACTTAATTTAATTAATTTTATTATTTAATTACTACTTCATTCAAGTAATCGTAGATTCCAGTAATTGTAGAGTAAAAATCTACATATTAAGATGGGACAGAAATAGTGATTAATGTTAAAATTCACCTAGGACTGTCGATTGTAAACATGATTGACTAAATATTTGTAGTTCGAATCTAAACAGCAACAATTTTCTTGTCAGCGGGTGATTTTACAGAAATTTTACTTGTTAAGAAACAAGATGCAACATTCTAAGGAAGCTTTCAGTTTCATATCAAAGTTTTCAAAAAATACTTGATGGAAGTTATGGTCAACAATTTTTTGTTGAACAAAATTTTTATTTAAAAATTTAGATTCAAAGCATAAATGTTTATTTTAGAGTATCCGACGTTGGCTGACAATATAAATTTGTAATGTTATTAGCTCAAACTTTTGATTTATATCATTGATCAATAAAATCTGTGCCTCAATAACCTCGGTTCAAAATATTTTTTCGCTGAAGGTGATCTAGTTGTGGCCCATAGGAATATATGAGCGAACATCAAGCTTGGAACACCAGATGTAAAGAAAAACGATCTTATATCCATTATGTTATATTCATTAAAATAAACTTATATCCATTATGTTATATTCATTAAAATAAACTTATATCCATTGTGTTATATTCATTAAAATAAATCCGCGTCCAGTTGTTGAACGATTTAAGGCTGAAATTGCTCTTCAAATAAGTAGTTTTAATGTTGAGACATTTACAATTTTTTTTCATTTTTGATTTTCATCTAATGTTAAAGTATTGTTGAGCAACTGTTTCTTCTCTTCATTTAATTTTTTACAAATTTTTGTTTTAATTCGCTCAATCATGACTTGGGACAATTTTCAAATTAGAAACCGAAGCAATGTTTTTAATTAATATTTTTTTAATTGCATCTAAAGCTAACAAACTTTTTTCAGGAGATGTTTTGAAACTTTTTATTTTTATAACCCTGGTAGCTTTTATAATTTATAAAATATTCTGTTCATGTTAGTGAAGTTATTAGAAATTGTAGTTTTGAAAATAGCAATTTCATTCTTGAAACACATTTAGCGCTAAATATGAATTTTCGAAGTTTTTTTTATATGACTCTACCCAAGTAAGTAGAATCAGATTCACAAGGGTTTTAAAATGTGGATGTTACAATGTAGCTTCTACTGTTCTAAAGCTGCTCGAAATCCGTTCCACTCCATGATCTCTACCATACTGAAACAAATAAAATATAAAAAGTAATTCTTTTTAAGACAAGTTCTTTGTTTTATTTTATCAGAATATATACGATATTTCTGCGGTTTAGGTGTAAAAGTTTAAAAAACATAGGGTATGCGGCGTATACCATATACTCTTCCCAACATTCCCGTTAAAAGTGTTCTATTGACAGAATTTCATTCATGTCGATATTTTTTTTCTTCGTTTCTATATGTTTAGGCCATTTCATAGATTGCCCGGTATATATATGAGGAAGATTTGTCCATTATTAAAAAAAATTGTTAATCAACCTTAGCAGTGGTGTTGTTTAGCAGCAAAAAGTAAACAACCACAACTAATTTGTAATTTGAGTTTGAAATTTTTGTGTTTTTTTTTTATTTTAATTTTCTTAAGTATTTTACATTTATTTTGATATAAGTTAAATAAATGTAGAATAATTTAGATATGTGAACAAAATGTTATTTGTGACTTTAAAAACCATAGTTAAACGTGTTAAAAACAAAACAATCTGCAGCATCAGACTAGCATTCCTCATCTTCATTGTTAACTTCTTCAAGCCGTGCTTATGCATTTGGCGGAGTATAGGGGGTAAAAGGGGCAAATTTTGTCAAAAAGTTGTAAAACACGATTCGGGTTAAATGTTAATAATTGTAATTTTTCTCAAAACATTATTTTAATCAGGGTACAAAATTAGATCGTTAGCAATAAATTATTTTTACTGCTCCTTGCAACAGACAAAGCAAAAAACATCTGTATCATAAATATTGCAGGATCGCAAATCCTAATGATTGAAACTAACGACCCTCAAAATATATATAAACACCACAAACTAACAAAGTGATTCATGGGGGCTATATACTTTGAAACTGCAATACGGTTCTGATAGGTATTCGAGCTGCAGATGAGTCCCCGGTTGGGACGAAACACGTGTCCAGCCTGTCCAAACGAATACTTTTCTTTTCTTCTTTTCATTCCTGCGCACTGCTCTTCCTGGTATGCTGTCAACAACTTACAACGGTGTAATCATACATTATCTTATCCCCACTGCAACAATAAATAAGTGATTGTTTAATTTCCGAACTTAATTTTCCATTTATAAATTTTTTAACGTGCATAAAAATCTTCATGTAGTGTGACATGATTTGCATTTTGAAAATTTAAGCAATCAAATTTTTTAAAGATAATTTTGAAAAATAATATTTGCAAGAACTGATTGACTTTATTAGTCATATAAAATAAATTTTCAGCGGAGTGTTTCATTTTATTTGCTCTATTGTTCAGCCAAATGAACAAATGCAATGATGGTTAACAAGACAATAAATGGCAGCCAAATAAGTGGATTAACTGCAAGTAGCTGTCCTCTTTCATTTCCTGTAAAATTTGAATGGAACAGAAACTAAATTGACATGCGTTGGCTTGGTTTGGAAAAAATTTTGTACATACTTTAACTTTGCTAAAATAAAACATTGTTTAATTACAGGATTTGGCATTGGCATGTTTAGCATATTTGTTATTTTGTGCGATGAATGTGTGGTGCATAAATACATACATGGATGCATGCATTCATATATACATATGTACGTACTTTATATATATATATATATTTATATATATATACAATATACATACAAGTATTAGTGTGAGTGTTTGTGTTTCAAATAACAACACGTTGCACAAACATTTCTGTTGCTTCTATGCAAACCTTAACTTCAAGTTTGTATGTGCTGGCATCATTGCATCTGTATTTTAGCGTACATGTAAAAGTTATATTTATATAATACAATATATATATATATATATATATATATATATATATATATACATATATATATATATATTATACATACGCTGTAAAATACTATATATATATACGTTGTAAAATACAATATACATGCACGTATTATTATTTATTTATTATATATATATATATATATATGTTACCTCCAGTATATATATATATATACTACCATATACAATATATATATATATATATATATATATATGTGTATATATATATATATATATATATGTAATTTGCTTTGATCATATATATATTATTTCACTTTTAGTTTATATCGTTACCATTGAAAGAAATTTGAATGTACGTATGCTCTCATTTTTTCGCATATATAAGCTAACTCTTTCACGTACATATATATCTGATAAAGGTATACACAAAATATTATATAGATATAAATATAATAAGTTGCGAATGATGAACATATAAATATGTTGGCTCGATGTATCTCCACATCTACCCCAATAGGAATGTTTGCGTGTGCGTGTGCTTCTGAGAGCAACAAATTGCATGCACACCGTTGTTAACTCGTTGAATCAGTTTACCGTTTTTGCAGCTACGAATCTGTGTGAAGTCTGCTTCAATTTTTTCTTTTTTCGGTAATTAAATTATTTTCATTTAAAAAAATTCTTTCAAAATCGTTTCTACTGGTTGAAGTTTACAGCAAAACATCGTGCAGTTTTTTGATGTATTTGTTGGAATAAAATTGTTTATAGTTATTTTTTATATACAAACTTTATATTAAAGGATATAAAACGGATAAATCTGAACCACATTGCATTAATGATATATATTAAATTAAAAAACAAATTATTTTCTAAAGATTAAAATTATTGTTCACGAAAAAATA